TTGTAAGTCGAGATTGAAAAAAGAAAATCATGAATAAAGTTTTGTTTTAACAGTTGGCAAGCAACAACATTTCAAGATAGTTAACAAAGCGGGGAACATAGAAATCCGAGACCAGTTTTTAAAATAATTGCTTGACCTGTCCGAAGGCATTAACGCTAGCTTATAGACCTAAAGTGAACATGGAAATTGATGTTGCTGGTTAATAAATGTAGTCTCGTGAAATACTGTTCGCTTGGAAACAGAGCAGGAATAATGCTTACTGTCATTGTCAAGTTTCCGTAGTTCAGGCGCTTTCATGCTTTTCATCGAGACGTCGACAATCGAAGCGATATAGAGAGTGCTTTTAATACCAATTTGTCCGAACAATACGCCATTCTCGAAGAGCGTCGTTAATTCAAGTGAAACTGAACGCCACTTTCAATAGGAAATGATTAATAACAGCAATAACCGATTGCTTCAGCAGCATTTTCTATAGCAATTACGCTTACAATTCCACGCGAAAAGTAACCAGAAAAACGGCGGCGATATTCTTAGTAGTTACTGTTGGTGACAGGTGTAGCTGCCATTATCGGTGCTTTCATGAAGTAACGCCTTACCGCTTTGCGTAAAAACCACTTTCACTTAATTTTAAAATAAGCTCTTTGTTGTTCAAATTAGCATTGACGTGCAAATGAATGACTCGGTAGAATTGAAAAGTAGTCGAAAATTAAGTGCAAATTCTTTGACAAAACAACAACAGCAGTTGTTAAAAAAGGTATTGTAATCTTAAATCCCGCGAGGATACAAATGTTCAAAATCCTGGCCTAAGTTGGAAAAGAGGCGGGCACGATACTTAATTTGTAGACGTTAAGTCTATTCATTTTTCCATCCAGATGGCGCTAGTCTATAGAAGATGTTTTATAACCCATAGCAGAAGAACTAAGCTGTTTTAAAGCGACGTTATCACTGCGCTTAAGGGCAAGCACCTGTAATATGTATGGTATAACATATGTCTTTTACGCTACGTTGCTAAAAATACAATCACCTTTGTGGAGTTTCTTATGCAAAACTAGAAGCAATTTCGCAAAGTGAATTAGGCTCTAAAAGTGCAAAACGTTTCATAGTCGTTGCTTGAATCATAATAAACACAATGCGCGACAGAGAGATGTCAACAACATAAGAGACAATAAAAGCTAAAAGCAAAGCTCTCTCTTGTTCAGAGCCACAAGCAAAGCTAATAAAAGTGATTATCACCTTTTATTGCCCGCTAGTTTGAGTAATCAGCGAGTATTGTTAAATTAAGACTCACCAGATAACGCTGCGACGCCCTCAAGAGGCACGGAAATTTTTTTCTTTCTCGGCCTCCCTTTCGACGACGAGGAACCATGGGTCGATTTCAACGCTTGTGCCTCCTCTCGAAGTAATATTTCGTAGTCTGCTTTGCAGAATATTTGCATTCCACGCATACCGAAGTATTCACCAGTCGCTAAAATTCGCTTGCAGCGATCGCAGGCGAAACAGCTGATGTGGTAAACGTGTTCGCGGGCGCGCATCACCAGTTCTTTGCTTGAGATTCCTCGGCTGCATCCCGCGCATCTTTTGACTGAGAAACGCCTAACGGAGAGAAAATTTGAATAAACTAGAATAGCTGTGCAGAATTTACAAGCAAAAACATTGAGGCTGTCGTGACTTTTATTTTATAGTGGTTTTTGCCAGTTAGCGTATTTTAAATGGACCAAGACTAACACTGAGCTACTGTTAGATAAAACGAGCTGTTCGTTAGTCGATTAGTTCCTTGAATCAGGTTTAATATATCTAGGGCTATTTCAGTCATACCTTAAAATGCGATTAAGTAAATATCTGTGGAATGGTTAAAGCGACAATAAATAATATCAGTCAGTAAGCGCAGCCCAAAAAAGAAGAATGGAGAAACAATCTTTTTACACTTCATTATGTCGTTGTTTTTCATTCATTTTTACCTCCTTATCATAAACCCAAACAAAGTGTTTAAGGTCAATTCTTACCAACTGTGTAGTCATTCAATATAATGGAATATACATTTTATTTGGAGAGTCAAATTAATCACAGAAGGACCGAATTCATTCGCAATGTTGTTGAAAAGATTCGCAATTTAGTTCTAGTGAGTTACATCTGCCAAATTCGACTACAGCTTTTAAACCATTCTATCGTTCTTACTTCCTGCTCTATGAGCTGACCAAACGGTGTTGCAAGATGTCTTTTTAGCTAACTTTATCATATTACAGACATTGTTCGTCCGAACCGGAGTAATGGTATAATGTTTTCTTACAAGAAACGATGATCTTGTTTAGTGTCATTTCTCTTGCTTCGATGAGAAAAAAAAACTGACAAACAAATAGACATGTAAGGGAAGCACGGTTGTTGTAAAAAATAATATCCAACACTTTTTTAGCAATACTGGAAAATATCAGGCCTCGGCGGTTGATATCAAGGTGGATGATACTATTCACATATCAGATAAACCGCTACCCATTGGATAGCTTGATTTGTTTTGTGAACACTTATCCACTTGATAAGAATTTATCGAGTGGATAGCATTATTCATCCTTTTCAAAACCGAGAGCGGATTTTCGTGGGAACGAGGAAGTAAGACGAAGAATAAACTTCAACGCGAGTTATTAACTTGTTACCCACAGCATTTAAACCGACTATTTAAGATTCTAAGTTTGCGATGAAAAGGGCAGGGCATTCTGTTCTGCGCTGTTTCCTCGATGTTTTTTTTCCTTTTCTTCACAATGTCACAACATTGAACAGTCCAGCAAATTTCAGAAGCAAGGTCCTGTTTCGTATGCTAGCGAAGTCTCTACACGAAAAACCAATCATGACTGAGGATTGAAGAAATGCCTCAAACCGTTTTCAGCTACACTTATTTAATTTTCTTTCCACTATCTTGACACAATGCTACATACAGACAAAAAAGAATAGCTCATTAAACATGATAAAACGGTTGCTATATAAAAACCACGAAATTGCGTATGATTAGTCTCTCTGCGAAAAGCTCAGCTCTAAAGATCTGTTGTATACGTATTTTCCTTGGTACCCAGATGGCGGGAAGTTATTTTTTCCTGTTCAAATCACAAAAAGATTTAATAACCACAAAAACATTACTATAACCAAGTCAAGCACTTTAACAAGATCTAAGCATTGCCATGTGTTGATGGTTACCAACCGATAAATAGGAATCTCTCATATGATCTAGGCACATACTGAATTATTTTGATTACTTTCCAGGCTCGCTGGCGCCAAAAACAAAACGTGCCTAATCGACGAGATTCAATATCAAATCACAGATTTTGACCAGTGATCGCTGATAATCTATAATACATAAAAGCAAGGGTATCATTTATAAACCAATGTTCGTCACTGATTTGTTGATATGGTGGCATGTTTGCAAGTGTGCTATTTGTTTAAATTATTTTGCCTTGAGGCGAGTAACATGTTTTCAACGAACAAAATCTATAGCGGGCAATTTTTCCGAAAATGTTTATCTTTTGCGGTACGCGAAAAGAATTTGAAAGCCTCTTCAGCCTTGAAGAAAAATAACCTTACTCCTACTGTCAAAATCGCTTTTGTTCCTTTGCACGAAAAACAGGAGAATGGCTCCAAGTGAAAGGAAACAGGGAAAAAAAACCCTTGAACTGTCGGTGTGCTTCAGTTAAAGGGTTTTTTTAGGGGAGTGGAAGGGTTAGTAAACGAAGCTGTTTTGAATTCTACTGGACAAAAACTACATCACCCTGTTCTCTCTTTTTTTGTTGTTGTTGTTGTTATCTATTAACTCTGCGCCGGTAAGGATAATTTACAAATCAACGAATGCCGCATCGGAGTAAAAACTAATTTTCAACAGATAGTTTTACGTATATATTGTTGACGTTTTATAGTAAACACCGGAATTTTTTTTACAAACGGGCTTAACACACGAATGAAGAGTCTAGGTCAGGCTTAACTAGATCAGCACTTGTTCAAACGACAACAAAATAAAACTGAAAGGTCTTTTTAAAGAAATATAATAAAACTAAATCAAATTCGTAAACTAAACTCAAGTTCAGCGTCGGCGAGATTAAACCAAATTTCCAACTTAGACGAGTAACAGAATTAAAGATGTCAAATTGAAAATTAAACATTAATCGGGTAAAAGCAGTTTCAGCAATAAAATAAAAAGTGGTTGGAAAGTTTGCGCTAACCAGGAGCAGAGAAAGCGCGTTACAAAGCATGCGCTCGGTAGAGTAGTTGAAGTTTCTTACTTGTAATAGTCTTCTCTACATAGTATGGCTCCATCCTTGGTGAAGCAAGTAACCTCGTTGTCGAGCCGCAAACTGCACTCGCTGCATTTCAGGCATTCAGCGTGCCATTCTCTATCGACGGCCATCAGATAGAAACGGTCTACGATTCTCGTGCCACAACCTGCACAGAAAGAGCCTTTCTCGTCCAGGGTGACTTGGTCTACCGTTGGCATAGTCTAAGAGTGAAATAACAACGAGACGTTTAGAAGATAGGAAAAAATGGCTGATTTTCCTAACGCCATGATATATAAGTGTAACCATTTGAAAGGAGTTATGTAACGCTGAATTAAATTTAAGTGCCGAATTTATCCAAACTTGTAGTAAATCTGATAAAATCGCAAAGGAAGGTTAGTATAAGTGACGTATGAATCAAGCAAATTGAACGATTGGTGCGTCGCTGTCGGGGATCCCGACTTTGGAGTAATTTCACATTCGATTTCAAAAGAATGTACGAAATTGTTAGAAAGCGATTTATAGTTA